GGATCGCGTGTCGTTCGCGCGTCGAGTTCCTCCAGCGAATTCGAGCGGAAAATCGGCAAACGTCTCTCGTACCGTTTTCCCTTTTCGCGCGCGCAGGGGTAGCCAGGTGTGATCGTACGTATCGCGTATACGCGGTGAGAATTTCCCGCATAACAGGCACGCGCGAGTGGAATCGAGTCAGCCGACTCTGATCGACTTCCCGGTCGGAGTCAGTGAAGTTACATTCCAACCGACTCGTTCGCGGTCACGTACCTACATACGAATACAGCTCGTGCTTCCGGCGTTAAACGATCAAGACCGAAGCATCGAGATCAAGGAAATGCGTTTCCCAAAGAATCAGACGAACGGCAGCTTAAATTGTTTCCTGCATTCCAGATCCTAATCGTGGAACATACATACGTATTTCCAAATTATTCGTTAATTGACTGACTACCCCGTAGCAGTCACGCTCGGCTCATTATCTTTTGCCGCGTTCCGGCGCGCAGAAGGAAGAGTCCTACGAGACGTTGACCCGTGGTCATAATCCTACATAGTGCGTTATAAGATGCGTAAAATTATTCTGCAAAGCTTACCGCCGCGCCGGTCACGTAATCATTATACAATTGTGGAGCTCGTCGAGTGATTCTTGGCACGTTGCCGGGTTCCGGAACGGTCGTTCCGTTCATCGATAAGTCCGAGCAACGCCACGCGAGGGAACCTGTTGGAGAGTTTCCGAGGAAACCCCCGAAACGATTCAGAGGAACCGGACCGATGCGTTCGTCCTTGGCCGTGTACGCGAAACGAACTATTCCCCCGGCATCTCAGACCCAGTCGTTCTCCCCGTCGCTCGATCGGTTCGATCTTTCACCGACGACCGCGTTCATTTGGTATTCCGGCCAAAGTGTGCCAGCGAAATAACAGTACCTACGAGCGAGCAGGAGAACGAGCGAAACGGTCCACCTCTGGTGGTCCTTGCTGCCGGCAGCTAGGTCAACGCCACCTCGGGTTTAACGTCGTTCGGGCTCGGGTACCGAACCATGCAGCCACGAGAAGAAAGGTGGAACAGGAGACGCCGGAGACACGAAGAGGTGATCGAGGAAGCGCCGACGATGGTGTCGTCGTCGCGGCGTTACACCGTGAACAGGGTCTCTTCCGACGATCCTCGAGTCACGATTCTCTTTTGTAGCAGCCGAACAATCGGCAACGTCCGTCGTGTTCGCATAAAAAGGCGATTTGATTTCGAGGGGATAAGAGGGATACGTTGCGTACAGACTATTACGCCGGCGGACTCGATGCCTCCGACGTCGACGTAAACAACGGTCTGAACGCGGAGCTGTTCGCGGTTCTCGCTACGTGGCTACGTTTCGTAGTCACCGTCCGTGGCAACGGCCGGAATCCCGCGAAGGGAGACCGAGAAGAAGATGAACGACAGCATTGTTATCATCGCTTTAATCACGGTCTTTGTTGGCGTGGCGTTCCCCTCCTCGAGAATACTCGAGGGACGACGCGCCGCGATCGTCCGAGCCGCAGACGTTCTTTGAAAAAGACCAAGATGAAGGCGAAGCGAGAGAGAAATATACGGACAGAAGAATAGACCGCGCCGGTGGACGTCCGTGTCGCATTGTGCTCGCGAAAACGGAGAATCGACCAAGAGCGGGACGTTCGTATCTCGTTCGCAACGCGGTCATCGATGCGTGCCAACGCGGAGCTCGACCGCGTTACCTTTTCCAAACGTTTCCCTCGAGTTCGCATCGCGCATAAGTAACGCGGTTCGCCGCGGCAATGATGAAGAATCGTTCGACGGATCAGGGTCGTTATTCTCCGCGCGATGTTGCGGCTGATGGCGATTTGTCCGGGACTCGCGTTCCGCGCGGCCGCGACAAAAGGTACCGGCCACGGCTCCCTTCATCCTCGTACCTACGTACGCGCAGTCCGACGCGCGAACCTTTTGTGTACACGGTCTCTTCTTCTTCCCGTTGAATCTTTCGTTTGTAAATTATTAGCGGAGAATACGCTTATCGTTACGGCATCGTTGCGTCGATAAATCATGCCCGAGCTGTTTTCCCGTCGCATCGTCGATTCGTAAATTGTTGCACGCGGCCCCGCGGCCTGTAATTACTCGAGCTGTCGGAGCACGATGGCCCGAGGACGATCGTAGTCTTCGGCCAAGGTCCCTGACATTGTCGCGTTAGTCACCGATCCGCGCTCAATTCTGTTTCGTATCAAGGACGCGAGTCGTTTAGAGCATCTCACGATCGCGCATTCCAATTTCTTCTCGTGGATCGTCGGAGTTTCCACTTTCGTAGAACTTGATCGAACTACAGACTGCGTTCGTCCGCTGGAAAACGATGACACTTCCGACGTGTACAGAAGCGTTCGGCGGAAAGAGGAACGGCACGAGGCTTGAAACAATGGTGCATCTGTTGCACGAGGGTCAACGGACATTGCAAGGTAAAGCGGTCGCGTGTCTTTGACCGGGATGAGACGCAGAAACGCCTCGGTTCATCTTGATGCGCGGAAAAAGCTTAATTGCACCGCGGATTTTAATTACGCGTACGTATTTATGCACGTACGTAGGCTGCGATCTTAACGGAGTATCGTGGAAACGACCGGACGAATCGGCTCGATCCGCGGAAGAACAACGAGGAGACCCGTCGAGTCGACGTCGACCACTGTTTTCCGGAGGGAGACCGTCCGCGCGCGTTAATTCGTGTAATTTCACAGACAGAAACGATGCGTTCGCAGATCTTTATCGTCCCACCGATTTACCGCGAATAAATACCCTGTTCCCACGACGTTTATCGCTCGTACCTGATTCGAGAGAACGGTACTAATGCTGGACGAGGCGCAGGTTCGTGTCGCTTCATTGGCCATGCTCGCTGAATCAGGGCGACCGCGGTCGGAATCCATAGCGACGATTCTACGTACCGAACGATTAGAACGAGATAACGTCGATCACGGTACCATGGAAGACTCCGTTCGAACTTAAAAATTAATTCCGTTACGCGGCACAGAAATATTTGAGAGCCGATTTGTACGCCAGCTGGTCGCTCGTAAGAGGATCGTCGCTGCGAATGGCCAAGTACGAGGACCGTGTACAAATGAAAAGTGCATATGTGTCTGCTCCGCTACACGCCAATGTCTTTACTCGTCCTTCTGACTTCGAACGCATTCATATTTCAGAACCTGGCAACTGCGGGGTCGAGGGGCCGCGGGACAGACGATGGGATCCAAGTGGCCAGGAGAGACGAGACGGCTCGCGGTCGTCGCGGCGGAAAAAAGAAAAGAGAGAAGAAAGCTGGGAATCATCGTCTTCGCGCGATGCCCGAGCCGGAGTCACGGCTTACGTAACTCGACTTTCATGGGAGACAAGGCCAAGGTTTCCGCGATGCAGTGGCCAGGTGAGTTAAGTACTTACGTGTGGTCCCTCCGTTTCGTATTGTTTTATGCCACGACTGGCGACGCATTTAATTATGTCTATCGAGAAGAACGTCGCGGATCTTGCTCGCCGGACCACCGCGACGCTGGAATTTACGGTCGTACAGAGGACCGATGATCACCGCTTCCGTCGCGTAGGGATCGAGAGGTTCCCTACCAGAACGACGGTCAAGCGTTTAAGTACACGCGCTACGTACAATTATTTCTAAGATCGTACGAAAAAAGACACCCGAGGCGCGACGAATGTTTGAGGTAGACTCGAGAGCAGAGTGGTTGTTTGCAGAGATTTCAACGCCGATTTTAGTCCTCTTGCGCGAAGGTTTCGCAATTTAAAATACCGAAGGATAATTGGTCTTCGAGTAAATTTCATTGACACGGTTTAACGATCAACGACAGCCGTTTTCCGTCCGATTCTGTAAACTCTGTTAAATAATAATCGTACAAATTAATTAAATCCATGTTTCACGCGAGGTTCACGATGTTCCGAGCAAGCGCCTACGCTCGTTCATTTGAATCGGTAATATCACACTTCCTTGAGAATTGCCATCTAAATCGTAGCTAATTATACGACATAAATTCGAGCGTCACGCAATTTACTTGAAAGACCTTCTGCTCTCCGCGTTTTCAACCTTCCACGTAATAGATCGACGTTGGAAGCCCTCTCTCTTCAGAGACGCTGTCTGCAACAAATTCTCTTATCTCTCGAGGAGGTTTTCATCCGTTTTCTCCCTTTCATTGCTCCCCTTCGTTGGGAGCACCTTTGTTCGTTAGTAACGGGAAACTGGCGGAACGGAGCGGGCATCGGGAAATCTTCAACGAGTTCCGTGAAACCCGGGTGGGAACAGATTTTTTTTCCCGTTAGTCGTCACTCTCATCGTCAACGTGCATCATTCGCGAACCCGTGGCACACGTCCATCGTGAACTGGCCGTGTGTATAAATGTTTCGATCGACGAAGCAGGCGCGACTTCTTCTATTTCGAGAGATCGATAGATCGCCAATTACATAATTCGACGGAAGACCTGTTCGTCGAGTTCTCGTAATTTTTACCTATTAACAACGAGCAGGAATGACGTCACGGCGAGGCTCCGTGAAAATGATTCAGGATCCTTACGCAGTTATTTGCACGTTACGACCGTCCGGGCAGTAAAATATTTTTCTTTACGGATCAGAGCATCGATCGTTTCTAATAGTTACAAATCGTACATTTATTGCGAGGAATATTGGTTTGCAATTAGAATTATTCGTAAGCGCTCATCTCCCTCTCAAATCTGTTCGAACTGAGACTAAACGAGCCGCAGTCGTACAATAGTTGGGCCGCGTCGCGCGCGCTCACTATGGAACGGGTTTTCTCTCAATAGATGCACTCGCGTTCCTCCTTCGCAGGCTCGACGCGTTCGCTGCGAAGCACGTCAAAACGATTTCCGGTACGGATCGTAACGGAGTCGAAGCCTGAGCAGCCGAACGTCCGGCTGCCCGGACAACGAACGCGATTACGTTTTCGTTGGTTTCGTGGAGATGGGAAACTATGAAATTCTCCATAAGAGTTTTGTCTCTCTCTTCGTCCGAGAGATTCGTCGCTCACCTGATAGGGATAGGCACCCGGTCTGTAGTAGCCGCCGGTGTTCATTGCCGGATAACTTTTATTACTGCCGCATACAGAGGCCATCTTTCATCGATTCCTGTTCGCTGTTTCTTGGCACGAGTTCTCTTCACTTCCCCTTTTCACTCGCGGTTCTACTGCAAAGGACAATGGGATCGCCTCGTAGCCGTCTCAAACCCTTCGGGACGCTTTCATCGTCGAGGTCTGCAGCTCCTTTTTTACGAAGCCGATCGCACGGTCTGTTTCAAAGAAACGGGGCGAGGAAGCGTCACTGCATACGAAACCGAATCTCGATACTCGTTCGCTCGGAGCCCCGGGGAGTAACGATATTTTCGCGACGCAGTCGAGGTGTTCAGGGTCACGGTGCTGCACCGCGATTTTTTCAGAGGCCCGGTACGGTCCCGTAGACACGCACAATTCCCGATATATTCAAACTCGACCGGCGTTTTTTCTTCCCTCGTTACCCGTCGATCGGCCGACCCATAAAAAACCAGTTCATCTTTCGGACCAGTTTTAAATGGTCTCGGACCTCGTTAATCCCAATCTTCTTTCGATTCCAAACGATTGCACCGTCTCCTGTTTCGACACCAGTACGATTTTGTCTTTACGACGACCCGAACAAACTTTATCGGAACTCTTTTTGTCACCACCAGTCGCGAAAGGACGATCCTCGTCGAAATCGCAGGATCGTGTCGTCGTTATTCACGAATCGTTCGCGTCGGTCCGCACGCGTTCGATGAAAGCTTAACGATCGTTCGAACGATCGTGCAAATCGCAGTTTGATAGCGAGACAGAGACGAGGTATAGAAAGCACGCGGCACCACGTCCTTCCTCTGAGACGGTTGACCACCGACTGACAGCAGGAGATCTTCACGCGCCGCCGTTCTTCATCTTCATCCTTCCCTAACCGGCACCGTTCGTCCCCGACTTCTTCAGCCCCGGAGCGAGCCAGCTTTGTCGGCTGGGCTTCGGCTTCGCTTTTTGGCGGGTTCTCTTCCTCGTGAGAACCGTACCGTTTCCCTTCCCTCAATTTTAATCGCCGTTTCGTTCCTCGATGTCTTCTCCCTCCCACTCGTTCGTTTTTCACCTCCTCCGTTCGTCCTTGGCGAGTCAGCTGACTCCGTGCCTCGTGGTCGGCGTGACGATTTCTTGTTCCATCTCTTTATGCGATGAAAATCAGAAGAAACGTGGATCAGGAAATAGTGAGGTGAGAATGAATTTGAATGGACGAGCGCGAGTAACGTGCTCCAGGCGTCCAAGTCTCCAGTGCGGATACTATGTTGAAATCTCCGATGCGATCGCAGGACGTTCGTACCTAATCGTTTCGTTTCAAAGTCATCGTCGACAAAGAAGGGTACGAGTCCTCTTTTTTATCTCGAGTAACCGTTGCGATCATCGTCGACCCGTTGTACGAACATACGTATAATGGTTCGGTATAAATCCATGAATTACTCGATGCGGTAACAGCGAGCGTTGATTAATAAAATTGAAAGGAACGAGGTAACTGTACCTAGCAGCATAACTGGCGTTCAAGGCGCGGGACCAGGATACCCGTTTGTCAGACGTGCGTGCGTCCAACAGCGATTAGGAGGGTAGGTTGCTATAGTTTCTCTAGACCGATCGTGTTGTAAAATTCTTTCTATTGTTCACGTTGGGTCAAGAAAAATTAATGATACTGGTTACTTCCTCGACGCGACGTACCTCGGTTTTCGCATACGTCTACGCGGGAACCTGCTGTTGTAGTTTCAGTAACGGTAAAAAATTTCCATCTGCCGAGTCTCTCACGCTGGACACCGACTATGCGTCGACCGGGTTCCTATATAAGTATATACGAACGGAATCCGCGAGTGATCGACGTGGATCATATTCGACGACATCCGTCCTCTTCCCTGCAAATGCAAATTCGTGTTCCCCGATGCGCCGACGTTCTCTCACAATGATTCCTCCTCCGCAATTAATTGAGAAACAATTTTCACTCTCGACGTCCGATTACGATTCGGGCGAGAGGAAACAACGGTAATTAAAGCGAATTCGTCGTCGTAGCTGAAAAAGATTCGCCGGTAGACCCGTGTATCGCGGTACAGGTGTAATCACTGTCGAGTCACGCATACTTAATCGCGGCTGCGACGTTGGTACCGCGATAAATCATTCGGCCGGATAACGATTTATAGCAGCGAATTTTCGGCGGAACCACCATTATGACACCGTCGAGAAGATTTAGTGTCAACTGGGACGAGCGTGTACCATTCTCGGTATCGCGATAAAATATCGCCGAGTATAAGATCATCTCAAGTGGGTGTTCTTAATAATTGGATAAGTCACTTTAACGGTTTAATCGCCCGGTATGCGGCAAGTGTGCGATACGCAAATTATTAGTTCGTAAATCGAACCTAATGCGACGCGGACGAGAAAAGTGAAATTTATACGAATTCCATGGGACTTTTATCACTTCTCTGTATGAAGTTTAGAAGAATACTTCGAAGGAGACCCATAGACGTGTGGAAACAGATCGAGTGGAAGACTCGAAGCCAGACGGTCAAAAAGAGAATGCAAGGAGTAAGTTTTTCTCCTTTCCCAAACACTCATCAGAAGCAGGTTTCCTCTGTCTGTAGGAAGATCATCGATTATACCACTCTTCCCGTAGAACGTAGATACAGCGAGTTACACCGTTTTGCACGTCGCGTAATACACGGTAGTTCGGTATCGGTGTCAATGCGTAGCGAGAAGAAAATAAAGCCGTGAGGTGGCTCGATTCGCAAAGTCGGCTTTCCCACAGTGACGAACGCGACCGCGAGGTGTGTACACGCGTTCTCCGATACAGCTGTTCGATACAGACTTAAATCGCTCGCCGATCGACTCTCGTTCGAACCAAGGTAATTCGTCTCTCGCTTCTTTATCTTTGTCCGTTGATTCGCGACACGGTGGTGTTTTGCCAGATTCGTCACCGCCGTAACCTTCGATCTCGACGCTCTTCTCCGTCACGAGTCATACGCGTCGAACGAGCCATGAAACCGTAGGAAAAGCGTAACGCGATGAATGACTCGCACTTTCGGTATCGAACGAAAAGATTACACGAACACGCGATATCGTGACGCACATCGTTACTACGCAACGCGACGAGTGAAAAGAGAAAACGTTTCTATCGCTCCGTTTCTCGCTAGAATTCGCTTGTCTTCTTCCACCGAAAATGAACGGTACGACACCGATTATACGTCCATCTCGTAGATCTTTCGTCTTCGTTCCGGTTCATTGGCCGGGTCCGTCGGTGCGTGGATGAAAAAGATCGATGCACGACAGAGCCAAAGCGCGTGTCGTCGTTGAAAAATAATTATCGCTGCACCGCAGAAGGATCCTCGATGACGAATCTCGATGCGTTTAGGTTTTAATTACTTCGTTACGTCGTGTTCGCAGAGATGAGGGATGATCTTCGTGGCAACGCTCCGGTGGTTCGACAGAAGCTGAGCAAGAAGCGTCGCCTCTCTCGTCGGTCGCTGGCATTTCGTTGCACATACGGTCGTACCCACCGTGAGTAACGTTACGGTGGTTACGGGATCCGCGACTGCTTCCGGTGAGTTTCAATTCATGCCTTTCTCGATCTCGTTGACTCTCAAACCTACGAACACGTGTTTCGTCCACGACGTCGCTTTGTTCTTGGATAATTAGCAATTTCGAAGATGAACGAGAACGGGCGTAGATATTTAACTCGATTCGACTCGATTTCGTTCCTCGAAGACGTCTCCGTCGCCCCGTCCGCGTAATTACCGGTCCGCGGTCCGTCTCGCTCCGAAATCCTTTTTACGGGAGGCTCATTTTTCCCCTCTTTACGCGCCCTTCGTTTTTACACCCAGCACGCATTCTTACCCTCCCGCGTCTCCTCTTCCCGTTCCTCCTTTCCAATTATATACACCGTGTTTCTCGTTTATTTACTAAGTTCTAAGCGTGCCGACTCTCGGTACGTCGGAACCCGCCGCTCGGATTCCCGGCCGGTGGCATTCTACCGTTTTTCCACCATCATAATGCCCGATGGCCACTCTCGTTCCCTCCAGGATCGACGGTCCAGGCATTTCGTCGTTGTTTAGCCAGTTGCATCGCGCAACGATCCGTTCCGTTCCGTTTCGTTTCGTTTTCATTCCGTTCCGTGTCGAATCCCCGGCTTCGATCGTACCGATTTACCATCGTTCGTTTGTACGCGATCGCCGTCCGTCTTTTGGAGCGCCCCGCAGCCGTGCGCCGACGTCCGCGCATTGTAATTTTCCTTTCTTGCCAATTAAATGCTCAAGTGCCGCGGCTGGACGATGAAGCTCGAACTAGCTGGCTCACGATCCCTTTGACAAAAGCGCCGAGCGCGAAACAGCACGAACAGGATCTTCGCACGGAGGTAGAATCGTGTCTGAACAAAGGTTCGGTCCACAGGGATTGAACAGGGAGAGAAAGTGCTTCTTACGCGCTGTTAGATGTTGCATAAATCTACGATTTAAAGAGAGCACCGTACTAGACGGCCGCGAGCGTGCTGCGTTGGTACATTTATAACGTCGCGTTGCTGCTCGAGAGGAGGTCCTCCGCGCGGCGGACGGCGATTAGTTTTTTCCGCACGGGACGTTTGAACAGCTAACAGAAAGAAATTAATCGAGGATTCTGCATTACGATCACGGAACGGGCACACAAATCACGTGGATCTTGCAGTCCCTCGCAGATAGAGACCAAAAAGTCGTCCGGGTGCGTATCGGGTGGCTCATTGAGAGAACGCGTCCCGAACGCTGTCGATAAATCATACGCTTCGTATAAATGACCCTCGCGTAGGTCCCCCCCGCACGAACAATAAATTTTTACGTCTTGCACGAATCTTTTCTTGCGTCGTCACTGGCCAAATGAATTTTCTGCCAGCTGTACGGCGCGACGATATCTTCCTCTTCGTTCAAGGGGTAGCATTTCGTATCTCTCGATATATCCGGTCGCGCTCGAACGTGAATCATCCTCAGGGAATAAGTTACGGCCTTCTTAATAAAATGTTGGTAGAATTTTGTAAACGGTACGACAAGATTTCTCGTCGTCGATGCCTCGCGAGAATCATTACGTTTCGGTACCGTCTCTTCGGGGCTGCGGCACTTTCTCTTCTAAGAACGTTCGCGCGACGTTTTTAAATCGACGTTCATCCCTGTTAAACGGACGTCGAGATAATGCCCGTCTGACAGGTATACCGCGTCATAACGAATTCTTTTTACGCGGCGAACGACTTCTCGGTACGTCTCCGCCCCGTTCGGGTTCCTACCCGATTCCCGTCGTCCTCGTTATTATCGTGATCATTAACTATAAAAGAGGAGCAGGGGAGACGGAGGAGGAATGGTAGCGAAGAGAGGGTGGCGACGCTCAGACATCTTACCGCTCGAGTTCGCAACACGAGAATTATCGATCGCCGTCGAGCATTGCATCATAAATTACTGTTTTTATCCGCGGGCCCCGATTTCGGGGCCTCCTCGATCACCCCTCCGTTGCCCCACCGACTAGCGTCCGCTCGTTCCCGTAGGTACTCTTGGTCTCGTTCTCGCGCGTCATAGATTTATCTGAAACGTTCGAAATCGCTTCCTACCTCGCAACTTCGCGCCGACGCGCCATTTCCTTTCGTTCGATCGTTGTATCGCCCGGAGGGCCGACTTCGTCGAGCATCCAAGTTTTTCGTCTTCCCATCGATTCGGTCCGATCTTTATTAACGCGCGCATCGAGCGTTCGACAATTTACGAGATAAACAGCGATCGTTTCGTTGTACGAACGCCGGAGTCAAACGTAAAAATTAGCGACGCGTGTAATGGACGTATTATATACGAAGAAATTCCTCCTCCCCGGCGAGCTTCGGCTCGTCCGGGACGTTCGAATTGCTTCTGGTTCTGCAACTCCGGTTGGTTCCGTTAACCGCGCGTCGAATTCTCCGAATTTTTCTGCGATCGAGGATTTACGTCGCGAACACGAAAAATGTACGTTTAATCGCGCCGTAAACGTAAAGAACGTCGCTCGACTCGAAACGATTCTTCCTCATTTTCGAGTGTCAGAGATTTATCCGCGGTAATAAACCCGCCTCTCGTTTCGCTACTTGACGCGGTAGCGCAATTTCGTTTCTGTCGGACATCGGAAAGATACATCGACCGATCCGTCCGCACGGCTGCAATTAAACGATCGCGGCAGTCTATCGAAACATTCTTTCCGTCCTCGACTCAATTTTTGCTCGTCATCTTTCTCTCAGAAGTTTCACAGAGATTCGAATCGCTTCGGACTCGCCTCGTGCGATTCGGTCTACGCGAGAATCATCGGCGCTGGTCGATGCGGCTGTAAATAACCGTTCTTACGCCGGTTTTATCCCTGGGCTCGCGGTCGGAGATTTATTTGAAAAATGTTTATTCCTAAATAAAAGAAGCGAGGAACAAGGGGGAAAGAGTAGAAGCTCGACCCCCTCGGTTCCCCCGTAGACGAGCCTCCGCACGAGCGTCCGTCGTACTTACTTTTACCCAGACAGTATCCCTCGCAGCCGGTTACGTGGCGGAATGCGTTTGGTGACCGCGCCGTGGCTGATTTTTGCAGGGCCGTATCGGGCCCTGCCTTCAGTCTCCGTGGTCTCCAACCGAAACGATTTGACTAACGTTCTCGGGATATCTGAACCTATGCGTTCAATCGAGTTCGACACAGATGAACGCGGAACTACGACTTTCCCGCGAAACGAGGAACATCGGCAGATCGGTCGAACGTCGATACGCGTTCTTCGCAAAGACTGTCGTTGAAAACTTGAAATTGCCATGTAATACAGGAGCTGGGAACGCGAACGTTTTGCTCTCTGCCCGTTGCCGTCCCTGTCGTTGCAACGTCGTTTTGGCTCTCGGACGTAAAAATATCCGCACCGACCGCGAATAATGTATTTTCAATAGGACGATCGGCGTTCACTGGCGAACGCAAGAAATATGACTCAATTTCTAATTGCTTACGCCGGTACGATCCCGGTGGTTCGGCGACCGAGGATCGATGCATCCCGCGACGTTTTTTCCCCCGACGGTCCCCGAGGTACCCGGGGGTTCGGTTCGTTCGACGAAAATTTATTCCTTACCGGGGATCGATATCGGTATGATAACCTCGAATAAAAACGTACGATTCGCGGTGGTACGTCCCTGTCGTTCCGAAAAAGCGCTCGGGGGTCCCTCGTTACGTAGCGCTGTTCGACAAGAAAATTTGCCTCCGAGGTCGAACCGCGCGTTTCGCGTACACACTCGTTCGTATATAAAACTCGTATAGACGGGCCAACGGTGGTGCACACGGCACGGCTGATTTATCGGTCGACATTTTTTTCCCAAGATTTTTATTACGTTTCGATCCTTTCGCGCACACGTTCCAGCCTCCCCGAACGATCTCGCGGACACTCGAATCGCCGACAAGATCTGCTCGCGTCCACGTCGACTTTCCTGTGTTTCCGAAAAGACCTTCCGCGAGATCAGCATTGAGCACGCCGATAATTTACGACCAATACCGTCTAACGAGACGGTGTTAACGGCCGGATCGCTCGATTTTCAACACGAAACGTCTCATTCGGTCCTCCGTTGCGCGCTTCGCGAAACGCGAGTCCTGCCTCGGCGATCAAAGTTAGCGTACGACTTCTGTGATCGAGGTTTTCATTGTAGGGTTGCCTTCGGATTTTGTATTGAGCAACGGTACACGAGAAATACGGTACAAGAATCCACAAATTACAGACAGATATACAAATATTGCGTATATACACGAGTCATTACATGGTCAGGAACGACGTCCGAGTCGAGGGACGGTGTCTTCCGTGTCGATGCGTATCTGTAATGGTACGTTTCTAACGATGCACAGTTTGCAGAGACATGTATCAATGAATCTCTCTGGCAACTGCGTCGATTATCCTCTGAAAAGTCGCGCTGTCCAAACCGCAGAACGATCTGTCTCGCGGAGAAACGGACAACGCTCTCCGTCGACGACGCAGGAGATCGAAGTCATCGTCGTCTATCGCCGGCGGGTTCACCTTCGCGTAGTAGAGCGCAGCGAAACCGCTGTAGATCAAAAGTGCCGCGGTGGCGAGCTGTCGAAAAGCGAACAAAGATCATGCGTGTGACGACGTTGGGAACGCGAGTCGACGAGAACTTACTTGAAACACGGCCCAGAACTTGTAGCTTCCCTCATTTATCAGAAAATCGTAGTAACCGCCCCAGTAATCGACCTTCGCTTGTCCCATGGCTTTCATGGCGTGTTCCTCTTCCTCCATGTGATCACCGTAATGATCGTCGTGGTCGTCCTCGTACGTCGATCCGTGATCCTCGTGATAACCGCGTCGATGCACTCTCGGACGTCTGATCGAGAATCAATCGGTCGGAGTCGTGAGATCCACTCGAGCGGATTAAGTGAAATAAATATTAATTCTCCCGTCTCGGTGAAACTACCTGTACGTTTGTACCGCCGTACCGATCGTAGAAGTTTCCTCGCGCTCGTCGGTCTCCGGTGGCGCGTCGATCTCGTAAAAATTAGACTCGCTCGCCGAGGCGTGCGAAACGCAAACGAGTAACAGAAGGCAGTGACAAACCAAATTCGTTTGCATTCTGTCTGAAATGCGAAAAGATCCTCCTCAGAACGTGAGCCGAGTCCGCGGACGTTAAAAGACTCGGGAGCAGATGTTTCAGAAAAATTTATTCGGCAAAGCGATATCTACCCATAATTGTATCTTCAATGGAACCGCGTTGCTCGAAGATAGGCACCACCCGTTCCTCTCATTCGCGAACACGTGAGCTCGCACACTTTCTTCCCCGGCTCACCGTTTCGTGGAAACTGTGACTGCGACGATTCAGGAGGAGCTGATCGATTCCGCGATACGAACGTTCATTCCTGGTGGATCGGATGGACGCGAGTTCATCGATCTCGGAGCACGTGGAGGATTTCGCGTCGGTCCTCGATCGATTCGTTGCGTTTGCAAGTTGTCAAACGGCGAGACACCTCCGTCTAGGAACCGTCGATGATAAAGCCCAAAGAGCGACTGACCGACTCGTGGGTCCAGTTCAAACGTACTCTTCGGTTACCGGTAACTGTATCACCAGAAACGTTAAGCAAATCCAGCGTGCAGCGCTAAAAGCCCTAATTGTTACGACTCTTACGTACTATTGCGTAGAGTCGGCCCGCTCGCGAGCATCTCAGCCAGGAATTCGGCTATCGATTATCGATTATCTCGTTTCGTTGACACCCCATTATCGCGTCCCGGAAGAGGGTTCGCGATTCGTTTGACCTTTCAATTAGATCGTTGGTCCCATCGCGCATAGAACACGATTCGCAATAATTAATTTCATGGTGGTCCATTTGCAAAGGCAAACAGCAGTTAATGTACAGAAACAGTTGGCACGTTATTGCTCGCATGTCACGATCACAAAAATTAACGCTGATTTTGCCGGTGTAAAACCCGATCGATCCAACATCCGTCTGGCCAAGTTTTCGTTCTCTGTCTATCGACTGTTCCCCATTTTCTAGTAACAATTTGATCCGTCTAAATGATCGATAGAATCACGTGCCCCTCGTCGAATTTGGTCGTTCGATTCTTTCGCGATTCGATCCACTCTCTCTGGGTGGTATTTTCATTTTCAACCGTCAGGCGCACGTGAAAACTCGTACAGATCTCGATTAGGACTTACGAGATTAGGCTGAGAGAATTAACGTCCAAGTCACGGACTCTGTAGTTCGCAAATATTTCACGCGTCGGTCTTCGAACCGCGTACGCGGCATGGCAGTAGCCCGTCGCGGTAGCACGTATCATTTCGGCCAATTTAAGCGTTTAGCTGTTTCCCGTCGTAATAGCTGTTTAACCGCTAAAAGTGCGGCCGACGGAAAGTTTCTTCGGGCAGGATGGAATATTTGATACCACCGAGAGAGCGTAGACGTTTAGGCAAAGGAAACATAAACATCGGCCTGGCCGGCCGAAGTAACTGCTCACATCTTCGTGTCGTATTAGGTCAGCCGATTAGCGACTCCTCGACCAAGTCCCGTTGAAACAATAGTCAGAGGCCGATCCAAACCGACGTAGCGACGACGACGACGATCGTTCCTGCTCGATGCAGTTAGAAACGTGCAGGTTTCTCTGGCCGACTTCACGTTTCGTCTCGTCGAACGCGTCGACGTCGGTCTCTCAATTTTCATTTTCTGACGCGACCTCGGAATCGGACCGAAAATTGTGTCCAATATAAGGCGAGGTCGATCGGGTTTAACGGAGTACAAAAAGAATTATGAGAGGTTTGGAAACGATCATTTAATTCCAACTGATACATAAATACATAAAATTAAAATTGACCTAGCGTTTGTTCGTCACGACGAAGCTTCTTACGAGACGTTCGGAGCGCGAACGCGAGTTAGTTTGCGTTCTCGGTACACAACGAAATCAGGGGATTCATGCGTGGAAAGAAAATGATCCAAGGAAGCAATAATTGATCGACCGGAATGCGGGAACCATCAGAATTCTCGCTACGTTTCCAGTAATTCTTTCGATCCCACCGATACTGACAAATTCCGGCTCGTTGTCTCGTGAAAAACTTGCGCCACCGCCCGATGACGCTGCCGCAAGAAGCGGTCATAACCGAATACGCCTCGTTTCACGGGAATTTAGGCATCGGGTGTGCGTCGACGCGCGTCCTATCGCGTTTCGCGCGATCTTCGTCGAATACAGGATTCGAGCGAGTCGATTCCGCCAGGAAAAATTGATGGACATACACCGGATCGTGTGCGCTTTTTATTTATCTCGCTCTTAGTCGACTCGCTTCGAATCGACCAAAGTGGCTAACCGTGTGCGTGACAGATACAGTTCCACGATCAATAGGATGAAACTGTTTAATCTCAAGTGTCTCTACTTTTACATACGTCGATCAAATGAAATTATAATATCAAATATTTACAACAGGCTTAAAATAGTATTTACATGTACAGGATCGTCTCGTACTGTAAGTCGTTCGCCTTGCTCGTGCTACATATTGCATTGACGGAAGTGTGCTGAAATCTATCGACCCGTCGGTCAGTAAATCGTCCCATGCTTCCGCCTACGTCTGCGACCCCGTCGATCGAAATGAGGAGATGGTTTAAGAGACCTTTCCATACTTCTCTGCGAACGTTTCGATGCTCTGCAATATCGAGCCCGTGTAATCCCACCAGGTTTGATCGTACGACCTGTGGTGGTTCACCGCGTCCGCCAAGTGTTCGGGAAACGTGATTTTGTGCCTGGCGATGCTCTTCAGTACCAGGGCTGCGATATAGATGATGAAGTATATGCTGAAGTACAAAGGAATGTACCATAGCTTCCTCCCTATGAAGTAGTAAGAATACGGTTTCTTGTTCAGCCGCTGGTCGTTCATTTCCTCCGCGTGTTCGTGATACTCCGGTATGTGATCGTATATCACTTCGTGATGGAAATCGTGATGGTGCCCGTGGTGCCCGTAAGAGTGATCGTCGTGAAGGCCGTCGCCGTTGTCGTCGTCATCGTTGTCGTCGTCGTTGTCGTCGTGACTGCCGTACGGTGGACGATCCAGATGCCCGGAATACTCCATCGGTTTCGGTGCCGCGTCGTTGTTGTACGGCCTGCCCGGTGGATAGTCCGAGTAGTCGTGGTTCCCGTAGTAGGAATCCGGTTTGTAAGAGTCCGATGGCTGAAAATGATCGTTCAGATTTCAGTCGTCGGATCGCTCAGAGGAGCGCCGGGGAACGATAGATTCTGCGGCCGTGCAAAATTGCCGTTGCAAAGCGGCCGATCCAGATCGTCTGGACGATGTGGCAGAGGTGGTACGTCGAACCAATCGAGACGGACCGGATAAAATTGAATCGCGATCGACCGAAATGGAACGAGTCGAGTAGAGATAATAAAAATAGAATTGGATATCGAATATACCTTGTCGTTCATATCGGAATCCCCGTAGTCGTCCATCGACAGAGGTTTCGAGATCGGTTTGTCACCGAGGTAATCCGGCGGCTTCGAAATCGGCTTACTGCTCAGGTAATCCGGTGGCTCGTAGTCGTAGCTCTCCGAAAACGTTGGCTTAGAAAAGTCGAACGCGCCCGGAGACGTAGGGCCCGTGGGTGGATCGCTCGGACGACCGACAGGCTTCGAGCTGTCCTTCGCGTCGCTCGACGATTCCTTGTCTTTGTAAGGATGGAGCGTCGGTGGATGATACCTGTCCTGAATCTGTTTCTTCGCGCTCAGTTTCGCTATCATCTCGTGGTCCAACGTCGAGTATCTAGAAATTCAATCGGTTCCATCCGGGATATTTTGCGATACAAATTCACCAGTTACGTTGTTCCAAATCGAGGCAGTGAGCTCGAGAATCGCACGTACCTCACGGGCGCATAGTCGATCGCTTCGCCGTTTTTCAGACTCGATACCTTCGGTGGTACGTACACTGGTGACACGGTGATCGCGATATTCTGGAAACTCCTCGATTCACTTTGCGTTCCGTTGCTTCGTCATGGAAAGAAGATACATCGATCAATCACGTTTCAATCGTCCGTTCGTCTCAGTCGATCAGTGATCAAACCTGATTGTCCACGGATCTGGATCGAGCCCCGCGTCCGCGCCTTCCTGACCGTTTCTCGACACTTTGGCATACGACGTGACTTGCGGCATGACCGAGACCAGCGACAGACTCGCCAGAACCAATGGAATCGACGCGCGTATCATCTTCCTCGATGGCCAGAGACGAATGATCCGCGAACGCTCTCCGGAGTCTTCTATATAGACTCGTAACTGTATCTCGCGCGCCAGCTATCGCTAATTTATTGCTCGACTTCATTCTCACCTGCCGACGCTACTTAACGTCACTTACGCGTCCCTACTTTATTCGTCGGAAGGAGACAACGGGACTAGGGAGAACGTACTCTCGCTCATTCGTTCTAGTCTTTTATTTAAACTATGGGAGACGAAGACACTTTACAATTATCCTGGCTCGTGAACGATGCGATTCGGCTATCGTACATCATAGGAATTCGCAGTCACGTCACCGTGACTCGCATGATCACGTAACAAAGCCTCTTTGGGAAGCTGCCCTTATATTTTCATTATTTTAACAATGTACATGATACACTACTCTCGCGTTTCCTCCGACCGATCTACGTGTACACGTGCGCGCTAAGCTTCGTGATCGCGCGCGATGGACCAACTTAGACCTCGCGCAGAGATCGGTTTACGGCAAAAAACGAGGAGAGACGAGATCTCTGGAGGAACTCGTTCGTTTCACTTCTTCTCCTCCGGTTGTCTCTCGACAGTGATGTCGCAGCTGTTCTCCTGGTTCTCGAAGCTCGGATTCGTCGTCCCGTTCTGTTTCGCGCGTTCGTCGATCTGCACCTTGCTCAATCTCTTCGCGTCGAACTTCTTTCTGCTCTCGGCCGGCGGCACCCTCTCGACTCCGTCGTCGATCGACTCCGTGTCGATCCGCTGGAGCTTCGTCTCCTTTTCGGACACAGGTTCAACGTTATCCCGTTCCTGGACGAACGTTTGATTGTCGATCCCGGACAGATCGCTCCCCTCGCCCTTCTTACGCTGCTCCAACGACCCGATCTCGATGGTTCCGTTCTCGAGACCGTTCTGATTATCCGCGTTCTTGGGCTTCTTCTTCACGATATCGTTACCCTCGACCTGTGGCCGTTTCTTCAGGTAAGCCACGTTGAACACGTAGTACATCGTGCCGGTAATCAACGTCATCGCCGCGAAGATTCGATAAGTCGGCCGCGTGCCGAACGCTTTCATCAGGTATCCGCCGATCAAGCTCCCGGCGCCCTTGCCTACGACGATAGACACGTGTGCATCGCGCTTGAATCAGTAGTCGTGTACGAACGTTCATTCTTACCGACTCCGTAATAAACTCCGCCCAACAATCCCTGTATCGAGCTGTCGGTGGTAGTGGTAGACAATCTCGCTGCGTAAGTGACGGCAGCGGTAAAGCTGAGCGACTGAGTCACGGATTCTAATGCCTCGAAGATGAGAGTGTGCCAAGGGTTGTATATTAAAGAGTAACCTGTGAAGTAAAAATGGTCCCGTGGACGCGACGCAACGTCGATCTTAATTTCAAGCTACACGAACGATCACCAACGAAATTGATAATGCATACATTTTTTGCAATGATTACCGGTAGGAGAGAAGCTCGCGGGGGGAGATCGGCATGTTATTATGTTTATTAAGAGGACCGTGCGGACGTAGGGAGGTAACGCGTGCAGGAATTAAAATGAACGCTCACCGCAGAGTCTTATGGCGTAAAAAACGAAGCCTATGAAAAGTACATTGGCGTGGCCGATCTTCGATACGATCGGGCCAGATAGTACCAGTAATGGTATACCGGCAATACCGCCTACGGTTATCGTGATACCCATGAGTGATCTTGATCCACCTAAATCTTGTATCAACCAAAAGAGGAACGATTCGATGTATCCCCAAGCGGTGCCTGCGCAAAAAAAAATTTATCTCGCAAAACGGTTTATGGACGACCATCAGATTCATTGACCGCGCTCTCAGTTTCATCCGAGTCTCTACCTGCCGTGTAGTACGTCGTCAGTCTCTCGAGAACAGATTCTGTTTACTTCTCCGAAGATCGGACAGAATCGTTCCTTTCAACGAAACGGGTGCACGGCCAATGACGGCAAGAAAACCAAGTCGCCGAACAAGTTTTACGTAATTTCGCGGGATCGATGGGAAACGTCAATGTCATCGCAATTTCGTCGACGCGTCAAAGAACAGCGGAAGCGAGCAATAACGATGATTGTGCAACCGTGTCTCGGCGTCAATTTTCGTCACGACTTCGCGCAGTATTTAGGAAACTCCGTCTCGCAAGTTAGATCGTTCGATCGCGATTGGTTCTCACCGAGGATGAAACAGGCGACGAAGAGGGCTGCGACCTCGACGTTCCTCAGCACGCTGAATACGTCGCGGACCACGTTGCTCGCCGGCGATTTGAATTCCAAATTAATGGCGAGCATCAACAGCCCCGAGATCAGCTTCAGGGCCGTGTATAAATAAAACGCCGGCCTGGAACGATTCATAATTTCCCTCAGCAAACTCCCCTGGGCGCGAGAGACAGTGTTCGACGTCGTCCGTCGTTCGGAACGTGTCCGTTTTCCACGGTGAACACTGTCAGTGTTTACTGTTACCTGAAATCCGTGTAACTCTTGCCAGAGCTCGCGTAATCGATCAGCAGTCCGGAGAGCGGTGAGGATATCATGCTGCCGATGCTACCGTAGATCCTTTGGAGGCCGTAATCGGCTTTCTGTTCGCGCAATATCGCGATCACCGCACCCTCGAACATGGCGAACGTGCTCCCTCCGATCACACCTGCCCAACGAAAAGTTCTCGTCAGATTCAGTATCCCCAAAAAGATCGTGGCGTTTCGCGATATTATTTTCCGGTTCATCGACTCGCCGTGAGAATCGTTTCGACCGATCTTTTTACACGTCGATCGCGTAATTCTACGCGCCTTTTTTTAATACCGCGGAAACAGGTTCCGCTACAGATCCCAACTATACCTCCACCGTGAAAAATGCGAGTTCTGTCGTATGGACGAAAACAGGTTTCCGACCGTGACCACGGCTGCTTCCGTGTCATTAAAACGTACACGCATGCTATTATGCGTTACACAACGCTTTCAACGAAATTATTGCTCGTGAGTAGCGGTCGAACGACCGTCTGATAACCAAATTGATAGTCACCAATGAACACTCGAATCGCGAAGTACATCCAGAACGTTACTCCCACGTTGTACTCGATGATCGTCTTCGCGTTCGAGCACGTCTCGTTTCGCGGAGCGGTGACGATGCACCGTTTACTGCAGCCTTCCGCCTCCAACACCTCGTAGGGTTCCGGGCTCGCGGAATAATTGAAGAGCGACAGGGTCAGAGTGACCCGCTCGTTCTCCAGATCCGGATTTCCACAGGCTATCCTCTGGTACTCCTTTCCTGTCCACGCCATCTCGTTCGATAGGTATCGTCGCCGTTTCATCCTCCGATCTTCTTCCGTCTCGTCCGCGAGCTTCAATTTCGACTTGTACGAGTGATAATTAGTCGTTCGACTCGCGTCGCCCTACGTATCAACATTTGTCATCGACGTCAGTTGACGAATGTCGAATGAAGGAAACGGTAGTAACGGACAAACCGGTGAACGGTGTCGAGTAGAGGAACGGCGTCTTACCTCGTGGATCACGACGGGATTGAAAGTGCACAACGTACGGTTCTCGTAAATTCTGTTGGACATGGCGTTGTCTAGGGTCGACGTCTCCAAGTCCTCGACGAAGCCCGACACGATGCACGAGAAGTCGTACAGCCGGTTCGCCGGGAAGAAATACTCGGCCGCGGACAATCGTCGAACCGACGTTCTGTAGTGCTCGTTGTTCCTCAATTTTCGGTGCTCCCGAAGTTCTTCGTCCGTTTCCTGCGAACAAACCCCGAATAGAGAACATCCGAACATCTCCAAGTGACGCCGCCGCGTTCGTTCCTCTCTAATCCTGAACGATAAGTACCTCCCTCGGCATGTCGTTCCGAGCGAATGAAAATTTGATCGTGGAATTCGCGCCGGTCTCTATGTTCGATCGTCCGATCGTGTATTGTCGGGACGACAAGATCGACTTTATCTCGGCTTCGTTGCGAACGTCCAAACGACACGCGTAACTGTAACAAGAATCGGTGAGAAGGTAGACGCTTCTCGATCCTCTCTCACTTCGATCGATCGTCGATTCGTAGTAAACACCGGAAGCATTCGTCCTTTGAATCCCATCGATCGAATCCGCACGCGAGAGCGAGGGTCGCGATCGTCCGGCCGTTCTCACCTACCCGCAACTCTCTATCCTCGTCGAGATCTCCGGCTGTAAGCTCGTCTCGCAAGGATAATCCTCGCTCATCGCGTAGATCAGCCCGTCGTTGCCCGCGCAGCCGAGGTCCATCACGACTCTGTCCGGAAGTTCCACGGTTATCCTGCCGATAGGCACCAGCAGCAACAGAAGAGACGCGAGACCGCCGAACGACGAGAACAGCGACAGCATGATCTGAATGAAAAATCGTTCGCCCGTCAGCTCGTCAATGTTTTCCAGCCGACCGAACCAACGGTCGACGCGATACGCTCGACGAATTTTACTTTGAAATTTCCCACGCGGTCGGCGAGCATTCCGGCCAAGGGAGGCATCACCATCGCTATCACCGGCGTTATTGCGCTCATTATGGCAGTTTCTTCCACGTTTATACCCAACTCCCTCATGTGTATGGTCAAGTACGGATAAAGTACATAGAGTGCTGGGCGCAATAAAAATAAATAATTATAAGCGACGCATTAAGCGCGAACTAGAGCTCCCGATTTAATCGGTCGGATATTTATGGCAAGTATTTACTCGATGCTTGAACGAAGAATATCATTTTCAGGGGTAGCAGTTCTTTGTGCCGGAAGTCCTTGATGATCCTCCGAAAGAAACTCTTGATCAGCATCATCTCGTCGCTCCTCGAGTGACTCTTCAGATCGTAAGGGTCTCGTGAGCAATGGCAACGTCGACTGGTTCCAGTGAAATTTCACAGTGACACCGAGTATCGTTGAAAACGTCCGCGTCACCGTCGCATTGTTCTTCCTTCTACTGAAACAACGTTCGAACAACGACCTTACTAATTTTATTTCTTATCGCTCGGATTTAGTTTTAGATATCGCGAAAACGAATATGATTATCGTTAAATAATTCTTTCGCGAGCTACGAGCGACCGTTTTCAGCCGCGCACGTCCAAACATCAGCGGTCTACGTACGTTAAAACGAAGGACTACGCTCACCGGGACAGAAGATGACGACGAAGAGACAGTTCGAATCGAAATTAACGACTACGCCCGGTGAATCGTAAATCGTCGAGAGTGACACGTTCTCTCGTTGTGGCGGTCCCGCTGCTCGCGCTTGGCCAACTTTGAACTTCGTTCCGAGGATCTGAGATTAGCCTGTGTCTGACTCATTTACCGATCTGATAAAGGGACTCGTACTCTTATTTTCTCATTCTATCTGTACAATCTGAACCGTCTGGAAATCGCGACCGTTCGAGCCGTTTTCTTTCTACGTTTAAGTAAATATTTGACCGTCCATTTCTCCAAGACCGACGGGCGGCGGAGGTACACGCCGCGTTGTGCGCATTGCAAAACCGTTATGTAAAAGCCGCCGTATTGATAGACTGGCCACTGTCACGGCTACCGTCCGTCCGGTGTCAACGACGAGCCTTTCACACGATCCCGAATCGAAATTTGCCAGATGCGACGCGTTTTCTTCGCTGTTCCAGGACGGTAGATACCGTTGACGATCGTTCGACTCGTAATGCCGTTCCGAGATTCGCGGTTCTTCGTTCTCTCGTTACGGCCCGTCGTCTACGTTTCGAATCACTCTCTCTGAGTTTGCTTCTAGACCTGCCCTCGTTTTTAATTCATTTTTCGATCTCTTTTACGATCTGCGTCGATGATCGGGCACGAGGAAACATCTGAATCGAAACGTTTTCGTTCGCTTCGATTTAACGTTTCCCTCGTCGAATCGTTGATTGTTCCTTCAAGCTTTCGATAACGGAACATGCTTGTTTGCGTAATCGAAGTTCGAGAAACGATTCATAAGCTCGGTCTCGGATATCGTCGATCGTTTTACAAATGGGCCGGCGTGTTTTAAGGATGTATTGGCTATACAGTCAATCCCAAAAGTTTATGTACCTCAGAAAAACACATTTCCTATAATTAAAAAAAAATCAGACGTCCGAAGAATAATGCTAATAATAAATAG